CCAGCTCTGTATAACCCTTGTTGGGTTATAAGTTCTACAACAGTGATTAGACAAGAACACATACATTCAGGGGGCGGGTCTGTAAAACCCCCTGGACTCATGTGAATTTGCTCAAAAACCCTTTGGTGAGGTAATTCTTCATGTGCATGTGATTTTTTGCCACCAAAATTGGAATATCCAAGTGCACGAAAAAACTATCGGCCTAGTTGTATGTAATCAGAGGGAGTTGACTATAACACCCAAAATATAAATATTGGGTTTTGGGGGTCAATTTTTTGATACCTTTGTAATCGACGCCACAATGAGCCAAGCAGCAGAGATTTGATCAGTTGACTTAACAAAATTTCTAAATTCTGCTTTTTTAACTTTTGCAAGCTTGGTGCCCGGAACTTGCAACTTATTGGCTGATTTTTGGTGTACAAGCAGGAACACAATAGCCAGTTGTCTTCATTAATACTCTTTGGTTTCTTATCTGTTTCTTGAATTCATAAAGGCCCTTGCTATTTGAAGCCCACACGAAATCCATGTAGGCGCTGCCAAAACAGTGCCTACATGAAGGTTTCCCACGAAAAAGCACCTACAGGCTGGAAAACCAATGTAGGTGTCATTTGTGTACGCCTACATTCTAAAAATAATATGTAGGCGTAAATTTGAAGCGCCTGCATTGTGTAGGCGTCACAAAAATGTGCCTACATCTTTTTTTTTGACTGTAGGTGTAATTTTCATGCACCTACATATTTTAATACCAACACCCTTATAATTTAATACCAAAACCCTTATAATTTAATTCCAACACCCTTATGATTTAATTCCAACACCCTTATAATTAATTATAAGACCCTTATAATTTTATAATCAAATGCGCACTCTTACATTTAATACCCTTGTCATTTAATACCAACACCCTTATAATTAATCTCACCACCCTTATAATTAATCTCACCACCCTTATAATTTAATACCAACACCCTTATATATTAATACCAACACCCTTATAGATTTGTATTCACACGTGTATAAGACCCTTATAACTAACTTAACTGCCTACATGGAAAAAACAATGTAGGCGCTCAAAGAAAGCGCCTACATTTTATTTTTAGAATGTAGGCGCTTGAAAATAGCACCTACATTTTATTTTTAGAATGTAGGCACGCCTACATTGGGTTTTCAGCCTGTAGGCGTCATTTGAAAAAGGAAAAAGTGCCTACATCATAAATGTAGGCGCTTTTTGGCGGAAAGCAACCGTGCAGGCGTAACTTGGACAGCGCCTACATGGATTTCATGTGGGCTGCAAATAGCAATGGCCTTCATAAAAAGACCTTTTATATCTCTTTGATTCATGTATGACTGGTACTTCCAAAGACACTGTACAATACTGTGGAGCTGTGCTTGCTGTGTCTCTGGAAGAAGACAGTATATACACTGACACATCAATGCCTACTTAATAAGGGTCATAAAAGCCCTGCGGGCACCCTGGAGACCCAGTATGCCTGGTTTCCCATCATTTGTTCTGTTGGATATTCAAAAAATTTCCTTCTGAGTAGGATCCAATAGCTCTTTTCAAGCGCAAGATCATATGGGTTCTATATTCAATACATGCTTGGTACTGCACATCCCTACAGATTACACCAGGCCTATGCTCCAAAATCATTTTGACAATCACAGTTTGTTTCAGGAACACACTGTAGTTCAATATCACAAACAAAAGACTATAATTACAGAATTGAAATACACATGAGCATTAAGTTTACACATACAATAATCAATAGTGTTAAATATAACCTCAGACAAGTGTTGGACTACACTTATTAGGCAGAGTGAAAGTTCAAATGAGGGTGTGGTGGTTGGGTGGGGTTATGTGGTACCAATGGGAACATGCAACTTTTAATTGCAATACAGAAACTAATGTTGAACATGAAAAAGTTGTCTGTGTGCTGCACATACACCTAAACACACAATGAAAGCCAGAATTTTGGCCCTTTGGGCCTTTTCAGCTGTTATAATCAATCTGGGGTGTGCCATGGACAGCCTTGATTGATCTCTGGATCTCCTCAGGTCTGTCCAGGGCCAGGAAAAGCCCTTGGGCCTCCCTCTCATACTCAGGGCTGGGTCACAGCCCTAGTACCAGCATAGTATTGTGGCTCTGTTTTTTTACAATACAAAAAGTCTGATGAGAGCAAAATCTTCAAATGAGGAATTGAACAACTTTTGTCTTTGACCAAAGTTTGTCAATCAAAAAGCATGCCTCTTGCAAGAGAAAAAGGAATGTGTTCCTTTGAATTTTGACTTGCAAATACAGTCATTTTCTGCAACCCAATTTCAACATTCAAAAACTTTTTGACTTTCTTCAGCAATATTTGAGCAGGTCACAGCTGTTTCAATAAAAAACACCGCCTGGTTGATTTTTTGTTTTTTGTTTCTTTAAGGTTGTACTAAATATTACTGACCTATATTCTGCATACATAGGAGCTTTAGTTGACTTATTCAAGGGTGCACAAATTGTGAAAGATCACAATTGTTGCTGCCTTTGAATCCGAAATGCACAGCCTTTGGTATGGTTGCAACCTGTGGAAAATTGGGAGGCTGTGGGGGGACACTTGAAAGGTGGATCACAATGTATAAAGTTTAGCACATCATTGACTACAACTGCTCTATGTAGGTGAGTAATTTTTATTGCAACCTTAAAAAATCCAAAACAAGCAGGGCAGCATTTTTTTTCAAAACAGCGGTACAAGTAATCTGAATAGACAGAGTTGAAGGTAGCTACAGTTCAAATGAGCATGAGGTTGATTGAGAGGAAGTGGTAAGAGCATCCACTATGGGTGCATCAACGACGTGATTTAGCGTTACCGTAACACTAAAATTCAGACAGGTCCACTATGGACCTGTTTTAGACATGCGGTCCGTACGACCGCGTCAAGTCTTGCAGTCCGCTTGTTCAAATCTACGAAAGCCTACGACTTGATTTATCGTAAACTTTTGCCGCATCCAAACGGTCAACAGCCATCCAATGATCTATCTCCCATCCAGCTCTGCACTCAAAACCTTCACTCAAAACCTTCCCTCTTCCCTCGAACTCTCAGCTTGTTGATAGTAGCTGTTTACTCCGGAATGCAAAAAAAAGCATCTTTTTTCAAAAAAAGTCATCTCGCGCAATCGATGTCACCAAGATCAAACAAGAGGTGAGAAAGCTCTTTGCTGATTGTCAAAACCTGAAGGCATCAATTTGGTTCTTTCTGGTCACCAAGGTAGTCATCAGCATAGGCTGGGTGAGGTGTGGTAAGATACGTTAATTCGAGTCTTGACTTTGCCATAGCGTGTATAGTGTTCTAAGAACAGATTATCGTAGTTAAATCCTACGTTACATCATCCCATAGTGGATTTCATGCGGTTAACAACTTAGCTACAACACGCATGATTAAATTTTGCAATCAGGACCGCAAAATTTACAATAAAACACCCTCAACATAGTGGATGCTCTAACAGTTTAGGTTTTAAAAAACCTCAAGCCAAACTTTAATTTTAAACCCCCTGCCGGCTCACCAAGACCGGTGGATAAGTTGTAAGTCCCTCTCCAGACACCCAAGCTTGTGAGGAAAGAAAAGGTGCCTGACCAGAGGGAATTAGTCAAGTTAGTTTGACCAAGCTTGTTGGATAGCCCTAAACAATACACATCTTACGAAGTGTTGTGTACTGTAGAGCAGAAAGATTCAAAAACTGTTTTTGTCAGAACATCCATGGGCACATTCCAGGGTGCTCACTGCTGATCCAACAGGTGAGCTGCGCCTTGAGCTGCTTTGAGATTTGTGGTTAAGTATCGGAGAATTCGGCCCGTAAACCCAAAACTTTTGAAAGAGTTGATTATGTAATATGACACATATAAGATTTAAATTAAATTGATTAGTAAGATGTGCATAATAGATCTTAGCATGGCAATTTAGTTGGCGGAAAGCTGTGCCGTGAAGAGGCCGAGAGCTACCGAGAGCTACCGGTAAGCGAGATTGATTGTAAATTGATTGGGGTTGAAATTTGATTAGAGTTGTGTTTGTAATCAGACGGTAACCTATGAGGTTCACATTCACTTGGCTTAAGATTTCTTATTTCTCAGTTTACCTATTCTGAATTTGTTCCTTCAACTTTTTAATATTTTCATTCAATTCATTATCGCTATCATCATGGAAATCCTAACATCAACTTCAACAAATCAGCATCAGCATCAACATCAACCAAAATCAAATCATTCAACTTCTTCTGATTTAGCTTTCTTAGCTATCTTAACGTCTCAATATTCTCATTCAACCAACAATTCTAATCTAACTAATCCAAATCTAACCAATCATCGTAGACCTCAACTTGATCCCTTGATCTTAGAAACTGCTTCTCTTTCTGGTCCTCAGTTTAGTCTCGTCTTTAAACCTATCCTTTTTGAAATCAAACTAATGCTTTTGTTTGGCTGCATATCTCAATAGTCAAACTCGTAATCATTATCTACATGAATACTTTCCACATTCTAATCTTTCAAAAAACGATCCTAAATCCAGTACACAAGTAAGTTTGTTCTTCCTGATACTTTTCATTTCAATTCGATCAAAGACATTAATTTTGATTTTTTACCTTATTAGAAAACTATTTCAATTCATTCACATTTTAAAGAAATTTCAACTTATGTTAGTCAACAAGCTCCTCGTTCATCTAAACAAATCTCTTCGAACAAATCATCGACTACGAATCATAACTTGAATACCAATGGATCTCAAGAAACCTTTCAAGATTCTAAACGTAACCCAGTTTCTATCGAACAACCCATCACGCATCATGAAAAACACTTGAAATCTATCGAGACTCAAATCTCAAAGTCATCATCTGTAGAGATCAAAGAACCTGATGAAGTGGGATCACAAACCAGATCTTCGATTCAAGAAATCTTAAAACTCCAATTAGAATCCATCAAAACGAATTCCATCAACCAAACCAACAAACCGAAATCAACATCAAAAGTCAAAGTGAATTGTAAAGCAAGAACAAGGATTCCAACATCCAAAGGACCCATCTGGTTACACGTCTATGAGAATTCGATCGATCAAAAGGAACATTTAGCAATCGTGATGAATCCATTGATCTTATCCAAATCATTAAATGAAATCAAATCAACAGAAGAAACTGATTTAGAACGAATCATTCGAGGAGCTTTACCTCTTCAAGAATATTTGAAAAGTCATGACGAAAATCCCAAAGAAGATGACCAGGAGAAACCGATTGTGAGGATCCATAGTGAATGCTTTACAGGTGAAACGATTGGATCGAATAGATGTGATTGTGGATATCAATTAACTCATTCGATTGAATACATATTGAATTTAAACAAATCTAATGGATTGATTATTTATTTAAGACAAGAAGGTAGAGGAATCGGATTAGAAAAGAAATTAAAAGCTTATAACTTACAAGATTTAGGATTTGATACGATTGAAAGTAATTTATTGTTAGGGTTTGATGATGATTTAAGAAATTATGATTTAGGTATTCAGATCTTGAAGGATTTTGGTTTAAAGGAAATCAAGTTGATGACTAACAATCCTAAGAAAATCTTGTCATTACAAGCAGGAGAGGATCAGGATGGGATTGAAGTGGTGGAGAGGATTCCGATTGTTTTGGATCAAAAGGATGAGATTGGGGATGAAGTGAAAGGTTATTTACGTACAAAAATCCTAAAAATGGGTTAGTTTTTCTTTCTTAACTTCATGAATCTTTTTTCTTTCTTGTCTAATTAAGCTGTGTTTCTTTTCTTTTCTTTTTTTAGGTCATATGATTGATTTACCTCATTTTTGAATCTTTTGGTGGTCTCTTCTCTTTTGTTTTCTTAATTTATTTCGATTTTTGATTGTTTTGTTCTCTTTTCTTAACAATAGATGTCTGTTCAATCTTTTTCAATCTGTTAAATTTAAATCTCCTTCTTTTACAACTTATGATATATATATAGAGAATCTTGTGAGTTCCTATTACCTGTTTTTTTTGATATATACAAATATGTTCGATTATTGTTATTTATGTTTGTTATAACAAGAAAAAATCTCTTTATTCTTGTTCATTGATTTTTTGATTTCATGATCTATTTTTTGTTTCTTGTAATGAGAGAAAAAAACTTTTTTGTGAGATCTGCAATTTCTTTGGCATCCTGGTATCCCAACCACCCCCTCCCTTTCACAGCTATTGAAAGCCTCACTTACCAGTGACATGAGTTGGCACAGTATTGCAGGCCAGGCTTGGCCTTTGGCTGTCTTTTAAGGTTTGCCACAAGTCAAAATTTGCCAATTGAGATTTTCAGTCAAGCCTTCTACTTCATCCTCTCTATCTGTCAACTTCACTTTTGCCAAACTCAAACCTGATCACCATTCAAATTCAACACACAACCTCAAAGATGAAAATAGACAAACTCCTGCTCTTATATTCATTCCTACAACAAGCTGAGGATGCACTACAAAACTACATCAAAAAAGTGGGCTACTGGCTGAAACTCAACTGAACCTCTTACAATAAACACAAGAGAGCCAAGAAAGGTGTTTTTGCCTGTGCTCATGGTGGAAGTTGAACTCCTCAACTGGTAGATAGTGTAGTTTGGTCTGCATCAAGTCAGCTGCTGGATTGTGAATGGTCTGCTACAGTCAAACGCAAGCAATTCAATCACCAGTGGAACATTTAACTCACCAACAATCAGCACAACAATCACAAGCCTTCCAAAACTTGTGCTGAGATACCAGCCACACAGAATCTTACAGCAGAACATCTAACTACTGTTTGTAAGATGGCAAATTAGGATGTTCCTATGCAATCCATGCTATGTAGCCTGAAGGCTTCTGACCCAAGTGACTTGTCTATAAGCCAAGATATCTACAGACTTACTAATCTCAATGGATACACAAAACTTCATTGACAACCTCAAGGCAAATGATGTCTTTGATCCTTTTGAGCTGGTTGCTCATTACAGACTTCTGTCCTCATTTGTTGCACCCCAAGCTGATGTAAAGTCAGCTGTGGAGTTCTGAACATATGATGTGCTGCGGGTGTATTCTATGTATAAAACTGATTGGTGAGGTCTTTTTAATGAACTTCACCAGAGTCAATACTCAAGCTGACTCCAGTGTCTCTCTCAGTAATTAGTTTCCATATGCCACTCCTGCATGTGATAGGAGTATCACCAACTCATCAGTCAATCTTCCTATGTTTTAGTTTAATGCAACCAGAAACTGAGGAAGACTATTGATGGTTTTTTGGAGGAAATGAAGCTGTGTTCTGGGCCAAAGCTTATAAGCTCACATGCTCTGGTGACCAATTAAGAATCTGCTTTGATGAAAGCACTGAACAAAGTTCTACCTCATGCCAAAAATTCTACTATGCTGTTCGCACATTAAGAAACAGCTTCAAATCAATGTCAAGAACCAGTCATTTTTGTGGTATTAATTGGTTGCTACTCTCCCTTTTTGTCCTATTGGGCAAGGACTTCCGGTGTGATTCTGCGAATTAAGAACATCAACTGTCAAGAAAAGGTTTTGTTATAATTGAGCTTATGAAGAGGTATATGAATCAAGATGTCACAAGTTATGAGAACATAATGAAGAGATCAAATGATGTTTTACAGTGTTTGTTTCAAGAATAAGATGTGTGTGACTTGAGCGTTTATTTTTGTCTGTTCTTAATAAATTTTTGTGCTGCTCTCTTTGTTTTCCTTATACTTAAATATGACTACTGTCCTTCACCCAGATTCTTTTCCCTTATCAAAACTAATCTGCAATTGATTTCTCTACATATTGTTATATATTATCAACACTAAATCTAATAAAGGTCTCTCATTCTTTGGTATCACACATTTCACTCATATCTTTTTCACTTGATGCTATACGCGATTCTTGTTGCTTGTGAACAGGTCTGTCTGTTTTCTTTTCTGTTTTCTTTTCTTTTTACTAACTGCTGTGTGTTGTTGGGTTTGTCACTTTCTGTTTAGCTCCCTGTAGCTCAATGGCTTGTGGCTTTACTCACACTTACCTGATTACCCCAGGTCCACTTTTATCACCAACACCACTTTGATCCTCTGAGTTTATCAACTTGTTTCTTCACAGTTATCTGATGAAGCATGGAAGAAAGTTCAAGACCACTGGATGAAAATCTGAAGCTCACTCTCTGCCAACAAGTTTGACAAAAACCTTGAGGTACTTTGGTATTTATGATTTATGAGCCTGTGTTTGATTACATCAAGACTTAATGGGTTTAAATACTCACAAGGAAAAAATGTGACTGCTTGGAAAAAGGGTATCAGGCAATTTGGTCACACTGTCATTTCTTGAGCTGAAGGTGGGCATGTAGGTATCAAAGGCTTGTATATAGAAAGCTTGAAGTACCATGTCAGCAGCAATATGATACATTATCAAAAAAGATGGGAATTGGTAGACACAGCCCACACCATACACCGGCGCTCAAAAAGAGCGCCTACACCCAGGGATGCAGGAGTGAGTATGAGTTTACTCAGTAAAGTGAGTATTATTGAGTATACTGAGTATTTTTGCCTATTTTTGGCCCTGTAAACCCGTAAAAAGTGAGTATCAGTTGAGTATATACTCATACTTGGTACTCATTCTTGCATCCCTGCCTACACCTACAACATGTAGGTGCTGAATTTTGGCGCCTACATCTTGAAATATTGATCTAGGTGCCGGAAAACTAGCACCTGCATCTATTTTTGGTGGATATGAGATGTACAGTGGGTAAACCCGAGTACGTGTTCCAAGCCAGTCCGCATAGAGGTTTGGGTCCAAAATTTTTGAGAAATTTTTGCCATTTTTTCTGCTTTTTTTGGCGGGAGAGTAAGGTTGAGGGGTGGTGTTAGGCTGCAAAACTTTTGGTTTTTTTTGAAAAAAAAGCAAATTTGGTTGTTATTTGCCACTTGAGCAGCCATATTCATTAAATTATAGGCCTAGTGCGCCGCTAAGTAGCTAGATAGGTACCTAATTGAGGCCTAGGTCCAAAAATCCAAACCTCTAAAAGAGTAAAATCATATTTTTGGTCTCCAAAACCATATTCCTAGATTCATCAAAGCAATGCCTTTTCAATGGTCTGGGTGCCAGTCTCAAACATTCAAATTGAGTGCCCCGACATTGACCCGAAAGGTGAAATTTGATTTTGCAGGGCAGGTCGGAACACGTACTTGGGTTTACCCACTGTAGGCGCTATTTTTCTACCACCTACATCTGTTTTGGCGCCTGCCAGACTGAAAACAATGTAGGCACTAGATTTCTGGCGCCTACATATTCATTTTTTGAGCTATGAGTGTGGTTTTCAAGTTACAAGTATGATTTTTGACTTATGAGAAAAAATTTTCAAGTCACAAGTATGATTTTTGGTTTACAAAAAATGTTTTCAAGTCACTGACACAAGTGTGGTCTTCAAGTTACAAAAAAGTTTCTTCAAGTCACAAGTATGATTTTTGAGTTAGGAAAAAGATTTTTCAAGTCATGAGTGTGGTTTTTGAGTTAATTTAATAATCATGAAATCACTCTTTTCAATTAATCCACTTCAAATTTAAACAATAATACAGATTCTTCTACTTTAAATCCCAAGTTTTCATTTATTTGTGACTATTCATTCACTTGATGTTTTTTGCAAACTGTTGGAGTCATTGTAATGTGATTTCATTGATGATATGGTCTTGAATATATATTTACAACAACTCTTGTGACAAAAAACATACTCATATTACAAAAAAGGTTTTTTGTGAGTTGAGAAATTTTCATAACTCAAGAAATATACTAGTAACATCAAAAATGTTTTTTGTAACTCAGGAAACATACTTGCAACTTGGAAAATGTTTTTGTAACTTGAAAATCATACTCTGAACTTGAAAAATCTGTTGTGTAACTTGAAAATCATACTTGTAACTTTAAAAAACTTTTTTGTAACTCAAAAATTATACTCGTAACTTGAAAGAACTTTTTTGTAACTTGAAGACCACACTTGTAACTTGAAACACATGTTTTGTAAACCAAAAATCATACATACTTGTAACTTGAAAAATCATTTGCCTGACTGAAAAACCACACTCGTGACTTGGAAATAATTTTTATAAGGCAAAAATCATACTTGTAACTTGTAAAAACTTTTTTGTAACTTGAAATCCGCACTCATAGCTCAAAAAATGAATATATAGGCGCCGGAAATGTCACACCTACATTGTTTCCAGTCTAGGCAGGCGCCAAAACAGATGTAGGTGCTACCTTTGTTGCGCCTACATCTCATATCTGCCAGAAATAGATGTGTGCATTATTTTTCTAGCTCCTGCATCAATATCTCAAGATTTACGTGCCAAAATGAAGCGCCTACACATTGTAGGTGCTCTTTTTGAGCGTCTACCCAGTTGTATGTCATGGGTGGTGTCTAGTAATTTCCAAAAAGATAGCATACAGTCAAACTCATACCTTCTCTTTTCTTTGTCCTCAAATCTGGAGTGAGGTCAACCAAAACATTTCACACTATGTGCTAATTGAGGTAAGGTTTTTTCTATGTCTTGCATCAGGTTCTCTCCTCTTGTTCATCCTTCAAAGTTCTAAGCTGAGTTACCAAAAGTCTTACAAGCAATACAAGAAGGCACTGTCTTTGGACAATACCAATACATGCATCTAGGTACTCTCCAGATCACACGCCTTACCCTGTGCTCACTTCCGCAAGAAGCTCATCATGTCTTTGAAAAAATTGGCTCCAACCTACTTCAACACTCATTGGCATCTAGATCAAGGTTTATTTGACCTTATTATTCACAAGCAGCTACCCAACTTGGAGGCACTACTTGAAAGCATACAAACTTGCCACAAGACTGGCCCTGCTCATCAGGAAGGCATGTTTTTGAACAAGTTGGGTTGGATCCTTGTGAATGCAACTTCCACCATTGATTAAATGGATCCAATTTGATCTTTCAGACAGCCTGCAGGTTCACCAAATGAATCCAAGGGTGATCTTCTACACCATGAGCATCAGGATGCCAAACATTACAGTCCTTGTTGTAGTCAATGCCACCAGGCAGGTGACAACAAAAGAACATGTGATAACCCAGAAGGATCAACAAACCCATCTTTAGTTGAGCTAGTGGTCTAGTCAGTGTGGTTTAATTTGTATGCCACAGGAGTCCAAAGGCACGACGAGTCCTGTAAAGTTCCATAAAAAGTCTTGGGGATAACAACCCGAAGATCGGTCCCTTGGGCTAGAGCTCTGGGCAAGAAATCTTGATATACTTGCCCCAATGTAAGTGATGAGAGAAAACGGAAAATTTTTGTTTGCACCACACCAATCCCCAAACTTTTCCTCACCAAAATAAGGAAACATTGCAAGTTTTCCTTATTCACACTAATTTTTCTTTGTGATCACCCCAAAAGGAAAATCCACATGCAACAAATTTCATTCAATTGTCCTGGTGGCTGTGCATTGATTTTTGATCAGTCTGATTGATTGATTTTCAGTCTTGATTTTTGATTAGTCTGATTGATTGAAATTCAATTGGTTGGAGAAATATTGAGTCATGTCATCTGTTTATTGATCTTCACTACTTGGATCTCATTGAATGATCCATTCACAGCCAAGAGGATGATTTGCAAGACTGAGAAAACAAATTCCAGAATGAAAGAGTTCTTTGTTGAGAATCATAAAGTTACTTGTGTGGCTTATATGCATTAGATCTAAATTATTTGATGGGAATAGAGAAAATAAGAAGAAAGATTTCATCTGATTCTTCCATTTTAAGGTTGAGAAATTTTCAAGTAAGACATTGATTTGTGTAGTTCAATCAGGTAGTACTATGGAAACTTTAAAAATCTTGAGGTGGTTTGGACCTGGTCATGGTCATGGTCAAGTTGATGGGAATCTTATTGGAGTGGGTTTGATTAGAATGCAATACTGTAACAACTTGTGTCAATGGTAAGTGAAAATTTTGCTAGCTGTTGAAGGGAGGGGGTGGTGACAATACCAGAATACTTTTTTAGAATGAACTTGATTATGGATTTGAAGAACAACAAAGAAAAAAAGTGGACCTTTTGGAGTAGATTGGATTTTTTGCTTTCATGAGGTTTAAATGCTTTTACAATAAGTTGAGAGTTTGGGGTGAGGATACCAGAATCCATTTTTAGGAGGGAATTGGTTATGAATTTGAAAAAAAAGAAAGAAAAGGTGACCTTTTGGTAAAGATTGGATTTTTGTTCTTTCATAAGGTTCAAACACTTTTACAATAAGATGAGAGCTTTGGATGACCTATTTTGAGGGTTACAAGATGTTGGGCTGGAGAAATTGGTGATGTTAAGTCACCACCCAAAGATCCTTGGTATCTCTGGCCTCCAACTTGTAAGATACATTTTTGGATCATCCCCTCCCTGTCAGCCCCCAAGCTCTGACAGAGTCAAAGCCAAAAGAGCATCATATAAATCAATAATACAAAAATATCCATTTTCTCATGTCACCAATACAATGTATGTCTAAAGTTACCACAAGACAAATGAAAATATAACTAATGCCTCAAAGGTAACAAATCATGAAATTTACATCTTATGCCTAGTTTCAAAGGCAGCAACTTATAAAAAAACCTTTCATCTTACACCTAGTGTCAAAGGTAAATTGAGAAACATCTTATAACAAAGAACATGATAATCAGTAATATTTGAACTAAGCAAAGTTGTTTTGAGTAAACGAGCTCATAAAGCAACATTACCCAGTTCAAGTAACTCAAACAGGATGGACCCAAATAAGACATACCAAACAAGCTAGCAGGGTCAAATTCTCATAGGGGCTAAATTCCATAAAAGACAAAACCTCCATAAGAGTTTCAAAAACTAAGGATAGTGAACCAATGCAGCCATGAACCATGAGTTGGCAAAGTAAAGATAAAAGGTATAAATAGAGGTTATTTCCCCTAACAAAGGAAAGTCCTCATCTTCCTCCCCAGCATGATTTTTGACAAGAACTTTTTTCCATCAAAGAAGTCCAGGTAAGACTTGACGTGATTTCCAAAATCATAATTCCACTTCCAACCTTTTGAGATCCTCTCACCTTGAAAAAAACCCAAAGACCACCCAAGGAATCTCCTTGTTAGTTGTTTAGATTCAAAGAACTCAGTCACTATTATATTATTCTAGTGGATTTGCTATTCTCCTCCAACTTTCCATCTATATTCAAGGCTATAACCCTTGAATTTGGAATTTTATTGTTTAAATAACACTTTATACAAACATCAGGTTTGTAGAACTTATCTTGATCTATGTACCTCTGGTTTAGCAACACAAAGTTGACTAAATGGCGGTTATTCAAACTTCAGATATTTTTTGTAGGAACCTCCTTAGGCTTGAAGAAGACTTTTCCTGGCCTAGTTTAGACCAAATCCAGGCCATAAGTGCTTCTGGATAGTAGGCAGTGGTATATTGATATATTTTTGTCTTTTTAACCTGAACTAATCTCCCTAACTTTTGACTAAGGGCATTCAGATTAAAATCCAGATCCTACATACCCAGTAGGATTTTAGTCGTGGTGTCAGTCCATTACCAGCGGCTTACGGAGCCTGCCAGTCAGTGCCACACTAAAATCCCCAGTTCTGCCCACTGCACTTATTGCACTTGCAGGCCCGAGGACCACAATTAACACATATAACTGATATAGATTCCCCTGGACTGTGTTCATGGGATCATCTCAGGCTTTCTTTGGCCCTGTGGTAAGCTTCTGAGGTTTCTGAAAACTTCCAGTGTATTATTTGTAGTACATAAAATTGCCAAAGCCCATCTGTTGAAGTATACAGATGTGAGGCCCAAGATATCAAATTGATGTAAATGAGATGGAAATGGGACTTGAAGGTAAGTTGTAGAGAAAGTAGAAGGTTAAAGGACAAAGAGGAAAAAAGGAAAGATGTTTGCCCAGCTTTGTGTTGATTTGACTAGCATTGCCAACCATTTTTCACTCAGAGTCTCAAGTTTTGTTCAGTGGTTGATTGAGAAGGTTGAAATGTATTTGAAAGCTTACAACTTATATATTTTACCTGCTCAACTTTCAAAGCTTGAGTTGGGATGTTTTTTTGCTTGCTCTGTTTATGCACACATTGGATTTAATCTCTAGCAGTCATCCATGGAATCATAAGTTTAAGCTATATTTTTGTGTGGAATTTAGAAAGAAAGTAACTTGGACTTTCAAAAATATTGAATATCTTTCAATATATAAGAAAGCCAAAAATCTCTGTTTTTGTTGGTATGGTAAGAAGTATTTCAAGCCTATTAATTTTGTAAATACTAGGTAGCTTCAAGTGGACTGCTCAAGTACCATTTTGTTTGGTAATTCCTTAGATTTACTATTAGAGTAGCCCCAGAGTAGCAAGCAGACAATTCTAGGCATGCTGACCCAAAGGATTTTTACTTGGCTCACTTTCGCAACTGTACCACAACATGTGACTTGAAAACCTTCAATGGGGGTATCAAAATAAAATTTAGCTTGTATATAATCCAGCCAAGAGTTTCCCATCAGAGACTTGTGAGCTACAAATTTTATTTAAACTCATGAAAACCAAAAGGAAAAATGAAGCATAGAACACACAGATTTTCAGGCAAATAAGAAGAATGAGTGAGACAAAGAAAAAAAGGAAAGGAAATGATAAAACTGTTTGAAAGACTTAAAAACTAAATAACTCCATATAGAATATTCTTTGTTTTCAGAGTGACAGAAAAACAAAAATAGGGGATCTGATAAGCACAAATGAATATGGTTTGAAGTAGAGATGAGATAGTATTTCTGTTTTAAACTTTTGATGAATCACATTCTTCATTTGGTAGTTGATATCTTTGGCTTCAATTCTATTCTGTCATATCTACAGGCTGATTGAGATCAGGGAGTGTAGCATCCTGGACACTGTCTAGTTTTTTCAAGTCCATCATGGATGGACAAGTGAATCTCTGTTCAGTATGACCTTGTTTGTCAGAGGGTACCTCTGGAACTTCATTCAGGTCAAACAAATGGGCCTTTTCAATGCATAAGTCATTTGGAGTTTGAAGAGGTGAGTGATCTTTATGATGTGGAGGCAGTTTGAAGACATTTGAATCAGTATCAATGATACTGTTACAGTTTAGTGAACTCTATCACCAAAAATATGGAAAAACTGACCCAAAGTTTCTGGAATATAGACTGCGGCAAAATTTGATGCTTTTGAACTGTGGAGGTGTTGAATTGTAACAAATTAGCTTGAGATAGAAAGCTTCTCTAGTTCCAGTTGATAATGTTTTGACTTACTTGATAGAAGATTGTGATTTTTGGACTTCTGGTAGCTCTATGACGTGAACAGCCTGTGTTCTTGATTTCTTTGGCACTCCTGTATCAGAGATTCTTTCCTGAAAGATATCTGTGTTTGTTGACAACATTCTTTTTTGAGGAGGCACACATGGCTGGATGGGGGTGTCACTATTATAATAACCTTCTGTCTCTGGGAAGCTGGGAGGCTCCTGTCCATTCTTAGAAGATGCTAAAGAGTTTCAAACCAAAACATGTTTTGGTTAGTCAAGAGTCATATCTTTCAATGACAAAGAAGAATCTTACATGGTAAAGTAGTGTCAGTGCTTTTCTGTCCAACCTTTTCACAATGAGGAAAGATTTCTTTGATGCTTTTAAATTTGTCTGTTGAATTTCTGGTTTTGGAGAAAATAGTTCTAGGAGAATCTTCAGGTGGGCCTAACTTCTGCTCATTTTTTCTTGAGTCATCAGAAGTTACAGTCATCAGGGCCTTTGAAAATTCATTTGAAAAGACTCTGTCTTCATTATATTCAAGTGATCCTAACACTTTAATCTTCCTTTGGGTAATTGCTTTTAACCGCACATCTTTCTTTACTTCTTTAGCTAAATCCTTTTCAATATTGACACTTGGATTTACCACATTTTGACCTTTTCGTTGACTGATTGTGAACATATCATACAATTCACCAGTAGCCAGTAGATCTTTCAATCGCAAAAAAGCTTCTCCTTTAAAATAATTGTATTTTCCATCAAGAACATCTTTGCCTTTGTAGAGTTCTCTGGTGCCAGGAAACAGTTCTGGGTGACTGAGATCTTCTGGATGCTTCATGATAACACTTCTTTCCCCTGAACTAGACACAGTTTTATGATAGGCTGACCCCATCTGATTGTAAATATTTTTAAGTTTTTGAGAGGCAAAAAGATGATCCCGATATGTTTTTCCAAGTCCAAAAAACCATCTGGACCATCTTGCTTCAGACTTACTATGATTGTTTGGCCTGAAATTGGTCAAAGCCCAATAGTAACCCATAGACTGTGGTGTGTTTAATTTCATTTCCAGAGGTATATTGGGAAACTGACTTTCCATAAGTTGCTTGAGAACATTTCCAACCCGTCGAATAAAGAGGTAGAACATAACACTGTTGTTGATAATCATTTTACATTCATTGCAGTTCTCTACCTTGGAAATATACTCAATTGAGCATGTGAATATTTCACGCAGGATTGAAAGTACTGCAGGCTCATCATTATCAAGGTCCAATACCAGATCAATTGCTTTGCACATATGTTTTATTGCAAATTTATAGTTCAATTTGTTCTCCAGATTTGAATCTATGAATGGCTGTGAATTCAATACTTCCTTGAGAAGTTCTGGGACCTTGTAATCCAGAGCCATATCCTCTTCTGACATTGTATCAAGAGTATTTGATATCTTGTGATCATTTCCACCAAAAATAAACCAAAGTTTGTGAGCGGTTTCAGATGATTTTGGGCCACATGATTTCAGAGGATCTTTGAAAAATGGAGCTGGAGACCATGGGTGTCCAGACCATGGAGTTTGGTTGACCAGATATCTATGGATATCAACAATACTACCCAAATGTTTTTGAATAATCTTCTTTTGTTTTATTCTTTTGTACTGGGTTTTAGCAACATCCAATATCAGATCCTTATTTTGCAAACCATCAAATACCAATGCTTCAAATATTTCAAAAATATGCATATAATTTCTGTAATAGGTACCATGTTTCAATTCATTATCTCTCTCAGTTGTGAGTTGTTCTGAGTTGCAGAAAATTTGAGATGAGGCTTTCACACCATATCTCAAGTTTCCTGACATTTGAAGACTATCAAGTAATAAATACCATCCCAGTTTTGACATCAAAAAGTCCACAAATGGGCCAGATCTTTTCCTCCTTTCCTGTTGGCTTTTAGGTGGTGGAATATTCTTGAGTAAGACTAACAATTCTTCTTCAAGAAGATGCAGCTTTGGATGTTCTGGTTCAGCTGAGTGACCTTTCATTATTTTGATGATGGAATGAATCAGATCTTCAAAAAGACCTATTCTTTTCTTTTTGCCAGTCTGTTTATCTGATAAATATGGGGTGATATGAAATGGGCAGTCTTTTAGAATTGCATCTGTGTAATAATCCACTCTTGTCATGAAGATTGAAGCCTCTAGGTTTTGCTTGATTACTTCTTCAATTGTTCTTAAATCCCTCCAAGTTTCAAGCTTATCATCTTGTAAAAGCTTCCCCTCCATGGGATCAATTTCCTGGACTGTTTCTCTTACTTGGAATCATCGGGAAAAAACATATCAGTTATCATATTGAGGATCTTTCAAAAACTGGAAAACAAACTCACCATTTTCTACTATAGTGGATTCATCATCCAGTTGAACCAAATCATTGTCCACTTGAATACCTGGTAACAATCTGACGGATAAGTTCAGTGGTATAAATGCCATGATCACCACAATACAAAGCACATTGTACAAACAAATATGTTTTGAGGCCATGATTGAATGAGTTCTGTGAAGTGCATATGGGATGTAAAACCATGTTACCTGAATGCCTTTTGAGTATTTTTGATGGGGTAATACAGTCTCTGATTGGTAGTTTTGGATCTCATGACATTGATTAACCTGAAACATGTAATATGTGCTGATACCCAAACTACTACACAGGCTATTCCAAACTTTATGCAGTAGCACAGGCAGTAAGTGTAAATGTTTTTAATCACAAGGTATGCTTCCCAGTGGCAAATCAATATTTGGTCACTGTTCAGTTACACATTTCATTTGGGGTTTTAAAAACTCATGTTTGGTGTCCCAGAGGTGTCCAGAAGTGACATCCAGAAACTTCTAGGACACCTTCAAAATGTTTTTGGATGCTTTGGGACTTTTGGTCTCCAGAATCCTCTTCACACCTCCCACACGGTCACACCATCATGTACTCATCACTCACTCACCAATCTTCCCTTGCAAGCCTGGCTCGCAGCGCTACGTAGCGCTACTAGCCAGGAAAACGTTAGGGTAATAATGGAGTAAAGCCACAAATCTCGATAGCTTTAACGGTGACGGAAAAAAAAACGGACCAAAACCGCCTCGGTCATCGCTTCAATTCCCGTGTGAAATTGCCGTGCGTAAAATTGCATCCCAACACATACAAAGCGCAGTTTTACACCGCCGCCAAAAAACTATAACACCGACTTTCAAAAAAAAAGAACAAAGCGAGAAAGAAAACAAAAAAATGATATTCAATGATATTGTAAGATATTAAATGACATTTAATGATAGGAAAACTCTTGACAGGAAGCCTCAACGAGGGGCAGACATGTTTATCTGGTACCCTGAGTGGGTCGTGTTCTGGTGCAATCAAAGTCTTGGCTAGTTGATTGGCGCTTAGCTTCCTTATTAAGACACACTGACGACCATGACTTGATGATTTTGTATGCAAGAATTCGTAGGCCCGATGGGTGATCAGATTTCTTTTCTCATCAAATATGGTAAGAGTTGTACAAATTAATTGAAACGGAGTGCCTTATCATCATTCAAAGATGAGATAGAAGTCAAGGCTGAGATTCAGTTGTCAAGGTAGTTCGACTCACACTAGTCGCGGTCTTGGTGTTCAACTTTAGTGTCTGAATTAATGGGATGTTTCAAATTACATGAATGAGTATGAAGGGCAATGTTGGATTAACAAAAGTTTAGCTGACAAAGAATACAAAAACCACGTGAACAAATATGAGACAACATCATACGAACTTATAAAAAAGCATACAGACATCTCCTTGCAAAGATCGAGGAATGTGAAGAAAACGCGCATGGAAATGAGCACTAGACATTACTGAGGTGAGAGGAAAATGTTGACTCTAAATAGATATTCTTCATCTCAATTTAACCCTAACACTCAATCATTGAAATAGAGCTTGAAAGCCAGCTGGAATGAATTGGCGACGTTTCAATTTTCCATCAGTATGATCAGGGTGGGTATATCCCTCCTTGTCATTCGGAGCTGATTCAACATCACCTACGGAATAAGAAGAAAAGGAAAAATGGTGAACATCTGTGAGAAGGAATCTACGAATCAGAGTATGGAAACGCTTACCCTCGTTATGCTGAAATTGGTGAGTATATCCACTCGATCCGTCAGGATGGGTCGAGCCTTGACGATTGGTAGTAGGACGGTCTTGGTTTTGTGTGTCTCCCGTCATTTGATCCGGAGTTGCTGACTGGCCATTGGTCTCAGAATCAAGGTTCCCCTTGGTAGAGTTCGAAGCCATTGTTGAGTTCGAAGCCATGGTAGAGTTCGAAGCCATGGTAGAGTTCGAAACCGCGGTAGAGTTTGAAGCCGCGGTAGAGTTTGAAGCCGCGGTAGAATTAGGAGCAGCTTTGGAGTTGGAAGAGTTGGAGGTCTGACTAGATGAAGAGTCGGAAGGTGAGTGCGAACGGTTCAGTTGACCTCCCGAAGAACCTCCAAAGATGTTACCGATCAAGGACGATGAGCTGGAATGTGATGGGCTGTTTGTTCCGGAGTTTTCATTTGATGGGGTATTACCATCAGGTGAATTGTTGTTAGTCATAGTCTCCGATTGAGAAGGATGAGTTGACGCATCAGTGCCATTCGAGTTTTGGCGATTTTGAGAGTTGGGCGAGGTTTCAGAAGGCATTTGATCGGATCCGGAACTTGTGGTAGATTGGGCTGCGTTCCCGTTGTTTCCTCCATGGGATTGACGAGGGGAACTGTACCCATCTTGACCGGAATTACCACCCCTTGAATACCCGTCAGTATTTTGATGTCCATCCATACCTTGGCTGTGATCATCAGATCGACGGAAAATGCTCTTAACACCATCAGGGATAAATTGCTCGGCAAATCCAGGAATGAATTGGCTTCCCCCGTTGTTCTGATGATCGCCGCCTTGTTGGTGATGACCGTTGTAACCTTGATGTTGGTCTTGGAACTGACGTTGAGTGTTACCGTTGGAGTTTCCATAAGTGTAAGACTGGCGTTGGTTTTGATTATTCATGTTTCCACCTTGATTCCCATTGAAAGACGGCGATTGTTGTCGTCCTGAAGATGCGCCATTGGAAGGAGAACCTTGGACTTGACCTGAGTTTCCTTGTCCGAAGTTTGAACCGCCTGTACCACTATATGATTGGGAAGACTGTTGACGGTTTTGAGTACCTTGAGCGGTTTCTGCGCCTTGAGAATTTTGATTGCCTTGAGAATTTTGATTGCCTTGACCATTTTGAATATTCTGGCCATTTTGAGCACTTTGACCGTTTTGAACATTCTGACCATTTTGAGAACCTTGACCATTTTGAGAACCTTGACCATTTTGAGAACCTTGACCATTTTGAGAACCTTGACCATTTTGAGAACCTTGACCATTTTGAGAACCTTGACCATTCTGACCATCGCGAGCAATTTTGACCATTCTGACTACTTTGACCATTTTGACCAGCAGAACTACCATAAGAAAATCTCCTCCGTATTGATGACCATCCATGCCATGACCTTCAACGTACTCACCGTCAGATCGACGAAGAATATGCTTCACGCCATCGGGAATGAACTGTTGCGCAAAAGGTGGAATAAACCCGGCTCCGTTTTGTTGTTGAGAATTGTACGAGTCCGATTGTGGGTTTGGACTGTTGTATCCAGATTGACCTTCGTATTGGCTTCCTTCATCATATGAACGTCTAATGATATGTTTGACCCCTTCAGGAATGAATTGCTCGGCAAAGGGTGGGATGAATCCGGCTCCGTTTTGTTGTTGAGAATTGTATGAGTCCGATTGTGAGTTTGGGCTGTTGTATTGTGATTGACCTTGGTACTGATTATATTGGTCACGTCTGATGATATGCTTAACTCCTTCAGGAATGAATTGCTCAGCAAAGGGTGGGATGAATCCGGCTCCGCCTTGTTGTTGAGAGGAATGCGAGCCATACTGGGAATTTGGGTTGTTGTATTGTGATTGACCTTGGTACTGATCATATTGGTCACGTCTGATGATATGTTTAACTCCTTCAGGAATGAATTGCTCGGCAAAGGGTGGGATGAATCCGGCTCCGCCTTGTTGTTGTGAATTGTACGAGTCATACTGCGAGTTGGGGTTGTTGTATTGTGGTTGATCTTGGTACTGATTATATTGGTCACGTCTGATGATATGTTTAACTCCTTCAGGGATGAATTGCTCGGCAAAGGGTGGGATAAACCCGGCTCCGTTTTGTTGTTGCTGTTGGCCGCCTTGGTACTGGCCATTTTGATTGTTAGAGTTAGATCCATAGTCGGAACGATAGTTGTTGTCAGATTGCTGATAGTTGTTCTGGTTGTTGTATTGCTGATCATCCGAACGGCGGCCAAAAGGTGAACCACCAGCACCGGAGCGTGAACCACCAGAAAGTCCGGGAATGCCACCCGATAGGCCGGGAATGCCACCCGATAGGCCAGGAATTCCGCCAGAGAGACCAGGAATTCCGCCGGACAGACCAGGGATGCCGCCAGAGAGACCAGGGATGCCGCCAGAAAGGCCGGGGATGCTATCTAGGCCGGGGATTCCGCTACGAGCATTCATCTGGTGGTAGCCCATGCCCGCCATGGATTGCCAGTGGAAATCATCAAGCGCACAGGCAACCTAGAAGAAAGCGTAAATATATAAGTCACATGCCAGAAGAAGAGGATCATAAGAATAAGTGGATCTCACATCGACAACTTGGTCGCCCTCATCTGCAACCAAAAATTCCATGACAATCTTTTTGTCCATAAAGCTAGACATATCAATGGCGCGCTGGTTGAGACCGCTAGACTTGAACATTTGAGTCGAGTTTCCTTGGGTCAAGTTTCCTATCGTATGATCGGAATTGATAGTTTCATTGATCATAAGCTGTGCTTGTGTCATGTTGCCAGGAGTACCGATATAGACTAAGAACGAGTCAGCGTAAGGCGAGTGGTCCATGCCGATTCTGTCATTGTACATGAAAAGAAGAGTAGTCAGCCCTATCTACCAAACAGGACGTATGAAGCATTGAACATACATTTGATCAGTCCATGCGAGAATTACATGCGTCCCGTTCAACTTCTTGGAATCAAGGTTGAAGGAGATCGAAAATCCTCCTCGGTCAAATAGCATGGTTCCAGGTTTACTGTCGTAGGTCTCTTTGCTGATCCCGTCGTTGGAGGTAACGAAGCCAGAAGATGGCGAGTCAAAGAAAGTCTTGGTGCGACTGTCACCAGACTTGATTTGCACATAATTAGGGCCTTCGATAGGAAACCTGATGATATACGAGGTTGACAAGAGATAATTGTCAGTTAATGGGAAAAAGGTAAGGCCGAAAACCGAATGATCATACCCAAAATTGTGCGAGTCCAGCACTTTTGTTTGAACAGGACTCCCGATCACACTAACATCATCAATCAGGGACTTGAAGACTGCCTGTTGATCCGATCGGACAGCAGATCCAATGAAAGCGTTTGCACCAAATCGGCGTCTGTCATTGGCTCCATATGTGGCCGAGTCTCCAATCATGTCAGGAGCAGGGCGGGTGGAATTCGTTGTTTTCGTAGTATTCGAGTGGCCCGAGTCTGATGAATTGGATGCGCTGTAGCCACTATCGGGTGCCTTACAAATCGCAGAGGATAGCAAAGCTACCACTGCCAATGGCACAATCGGAGAGTTCAACATCTTGGAGGTTTGACCACGAAAGAAGTAAAATTGGTTATTTCCTCTGAAAAAACGTGCTGGCAATGAAAGCGGTAAGATAAGATGGAGAAACGCGTAGAAAAGTTGATTCGTGTGGATAGATAGCTATCTGGAAGATCTGAAATATGTGATGAAGGCGACTGTGAAGACAAAGGAAGTGTTGTCGCTGAAGTCTGAGGATGATGACAGAGAGAGAGAGGAAAGAGCTCTTCTTATATGCAATAAACCCAACAGCTACCAGCTCGAAGAGCTTTGTACCCAATATCGTGAATGATACGAAAATCACCGCTGTCTTGCTGACAACAACCCAAGACACGATCAAGCTTGAAGGACATCTGGACCTGGGATAGAGAAAAAGGTCAATGTGCATCACCCGTCGCGGTTCCCAGGTAGTGATCGGTTGGTGTCTCCTGCGAATCAAAGCAAGTCCTGAGTCCCTCAAAGTTTCAAATTTCATTGATTTTGCTTATCTGAACCCTGTGGGCTGTAGAGAACAAGTGAGTTATTTGGCGTACCGTGGCAGTCATGTCGGACTCAAAAATTAATTCAATACGTATCATATCATAACATGCTCCTTCATGAGCTATCTCTTGGGTTGTCGCAGGCTGAGCTTTGTGGTACGCGACGTGAATCATCGTGGTTCGCGGAAATTTTCAATTTTTGTGCACTCAGGCTGGTCCAATCTCGTCCAGTCGAATTTGACAGGGAAATATTATACGGCTCCATTTGCATTATACGTTCGAACACGGTACAAGACCAGGAGTTGATAGCAGCAC